GTCTGGGCTTCAGTTCCTGCCTCAAGCTCCAGTCCTGACTTCTCTTCATGATGGGCTTGGATGTCTGTCAGCTAAAATAAGCCCTTTCATCCCCAAGTTGCTTTGGGTTAGTGTTTTATCACAGCAACAGAAATGGGACACTGATCTCATCCGTGAGTAGAACCCTCAGGACTTCATCATTTCCCAAGGTTCTGCCACCCAATACAGTCAAGCTGGACACTAGGATTGAGCAAAGGAATTATAGGGCAGGGGCATCAGGTTTCATAGTAGTAGATTTAGGGTTTTTGAAAGGAATGGTTAATGTGACTCAAGCTACAACATAATCATGCATCACTTGGACTCCACCCACTAATAATCAGCTGCCCAGAACACACCCTCTCTATTGGCTGGTTCCTTTTCTTCTTCCAACATCATCTGTACACCAGCACCATTGAGCCTTCTCTGATCACTCTATGTAAGCTGCCCCCACCCCATGGGTGATTGGTGCTGATTACCTACAACACTTGATGCAAACCTGAGTGACGGCAGATACCCACCTTGTAGACCCAAGATCAGGTTTGCTACATGGTAAGGGCATCCTAACCATCGTTGAGTGAGCAGGCAAGCAGTCATACTTTGTACCTGTATTCATATAAAAGAATGTAGAGCGGTCCAAATCTATTCTTTGAATATGTGTATGTGTTTGTGTGTTCATTATAGAAGGAAGATCCTGGGCGAAAAAGCAGATTTTGCCCCGCCTAACAACCAACCCACTGACATGAACTGAGTACATAATGTAGGACTCAAGTCAACAGTTGTGTATTCCTAAGGAAGGAAAACAGATCATAATCTCCTTGTCAGAAAGAACAAAAAGCACTGAGATAGGCAGAACATTGACAGATAGCTACTGAGCCTCCAAATGAACTGACCTCTACCGCCATCACGGTATCACATCAAGGGTGCTGAGAACCCCAGGCTCAACTTAACAGTAAACGAGAGCCAGCTTTTCCACACACTCAAAAGAAATTAGAGACACTATTTAGGATCACAGGATTTAGAAAGAAGTTTCCAAAGCAGGAAGGAAACACTCAATATTGGTCAACATAGATTCAAACGTGGGATAAGAGAAAAACAAACGCAAGAAATTACTGTCAGAAGAGTGAGGAAAATGAGCTGGGTATGGCTACATATGGCTGTCATCTCACCTTTCATGAGGCTGAGGCAGGATCATGAGTTTGAGGCTAGCATAGGTAACATAGCAAGCATATTAAAAACAACATAATAAGTGTAATGATTGTTCTGCCTCTTTAAGAGACAAGCCATGCCCACTCCCTCCCCCATAGGCTGAGGCAGGCTGATCTTCAGCTTCCAGCCTGAGCTCACTCTCTTTTCTGCCTTCCTCTTGGAGAGGCAGCTTCTGCCTCTCTCCCCACTTCTCCCCTTACCCCACTTCTGTCTGTCTCTCCTCTCTCTGCTCCTCTCTCCTTCTCCCTTCCCCCTCCATAAACCCCTGAATAAATATCTAACCTCACTCTGCATGACGTGCCTATGCATGTCTCTGTCTCTTGCCCGCCTGCCACGTGTCTCCCTGCCTGGGACTGGCTGCTCTCAGGGCCCGCTGCCTGCTGCAGCATGGCCTGCTACCACCGCTTGGGGACCTCCAGCATTTCTGCTGCCTACTGCCGCTGGGGATCCTGCAGCATTTTTAATTTTTCCATTACAATAAGGT